CTCAGGTGGTGACTTTTCTACTCCCTCTCAAGTGTACCTAATTCTCCTTTGTATATCAGAGAACACTTTGTTTTCATTGCATTATATGTGTGTATGTGTGTATATATATGTGTGTGTATATATATATGTGTGTGTATATATGTGTGTGTGTGTATATATGTATATATACATATACATACATACCATGTTTCCCCAAAAATAAGACAGGGTCTTATATTTATTTTTCCTCAAGAAGACACCCAGGGCTTATTTTCAGGGGACGTGTTATTTTCCCCTCAAAGCGTCAGCTTGCAGCACGCACAGGATGGCTGGGACCCGACAGGGGGAGCCGACCTTGTTGGTGGGGCTGCCCGCACCTTTTCGCTCACCTCTGGGATAGTAGCTGTCACCATGGGGCAGATGAGAAGGGCTGCTCGTGTTCTTTCCTGCTTCGAGACGACACGCATGGGTTGTGCAGATGCGCTGCGCAGCCACGCCCGTCACTAGGGCTGATTTTCATAACGGCGTGCTGCGCAGCGCATCTGCACGCCCCGTGCACGTCGTCTCGGAGCGGGGCCCACACAGGAAACCCCACGAAGAAAACACAAGCAGCCTTCTCATCTGCCCCATGTGAGCAGCTACTATCCCAACCGAGAGTGACCGGCAGAAAGGTCGGGCGCCACCAACAAGGTCGCGTCCCTGCCCAGGTCCGGCCATCCCTGTGCATGCTTGCAAGCTGCGCTTTGAGGGGCAAATAAACATCCCGTGAAAATTAAGCCCTAGGGTGTCTTCTGGAGGAAAAAAGAATATAGAACCCCATTTCTTATTTTTGGGGAAACACAGTCATGTCATAGTGTGTGTATATATATATATATAATACACCACACCACCACACTATTAACCACATACACACTATAATGCATGAAACAAAGTGTTCTCTCTGATATACAAGGAGAATTAGGTACACTTGAGAGAGGAGTAGAAAAGTCACCACCTGAGCGGGCATATCAAAATGTGGAGGCACAATCTAGTTTGAAAAAAACATATGCTATTGTTTTTAAATGATATTTAATTCATTTTAAAATGACATCTAAAAATAATTTGGTATTGGAAGAGGACGAGAGGTTTTTAATGTTTGTCAAAAGAAGAAATATGTTAAAAATATTGATAAGACAGCCAAAAAAAAAATTGAGGAGACATAGTTTAGGCAACAGTGGGCCCCACTCTCCAAACAATGGATGTGGTATATTCACACTCACTGTCCAGATTCAGGGTAGGACTTTATTCTTTCAAACTATTCACGGGCTTTGTCATTTCAGCATTTGCTTTTATGATATAGTTTTGACCTACGTTTCATCTGTTGCTGTTACCGAGTGGAAAATCGACCCTCCGTTTTTGGCATTATTTACGTGGGAAGAGACAATATCCTTTATGATCATATCGATTCACTTTCAAGAAACAAAACGGAACTGGGGCCACTCTGAAAAGAAGCACTGCTCCTATTTGCGAATGCAACGTACACAGGAGGCCCAACATTTCCCGGCAGCCTGTAGGTGGCAGCACAACCACCACTCTTTGCGACAGTCCTCCATCCGCCCCACCTTTTCCTGGCTCAGTCGGAAAAAATCCCCGACTCTGTTTCCATCCGTCATCATCTTTGAGATTTATCATGATTTACCTTAAAACTAGTCTGGTATGAAACAAACCTGATGAGGCAAGTTCTGTGTTCCCTCTTCTGGGATTTCCACCATCTCCTTCCGTCTCCATCGAAGCTCGTTGGCTCCACTTTCCTCAGTGGTTGCCTGAAAAAGAGAATATTTTTCCCCCTTTGAATAAATTATCTTATATTAGTTCTAAAAGAGTTTTTTTTCTAATAGTAATTTTTAGGCCAACAAGGAGGGCTGCCCACAGGAATTCACTTTTCTATTTCCCAGGCAGCCTTATGGAGGGAGTCTGGATCCGGAACATTCCGAGAAGAGGAGGGAGGACCAAGTACGTTCTCGCGTTCCCGCGCACGCCCCCGGGCTCCCCGCCACAGGTACCCGTGTTTCCCCAAAAGTAAGACCTACCCATAACATAAGCCCCAGCAGGGTTTCTAAGCATGTGCGCCACAGAAGCCTACCCGAAATCCAGCCTAGTGACGGCTCAGTGCTGCGCAGCGCATCTGCACACACCCATGCGCTGTCGCTCGGCGGAGGGGGGAAAGAAACCCCAAAAACGAGGACAGGCCTTCTCAGTCTGCCCGTGAGAGCTCTAGTGCTCCAGGAGAGATAGGCCCGGTGGTCTAAAGGAAACAGAGTCGGCAACGACATTCAGGATGGGCGATTCGGGGTTTGGCAGAGTGGAGGATGATGTTCCAGAAGACGACGACTCACTCTTATTTGAAATCAATGGACGAATGGTTGTACAGTACTTAAAAAATAACATCCCCTGAAATAAGCCTGGGTGTCCTTCTTGAGGAAAATAAATATACGACCTGTCTTATTTTCGGGGAAAACAGCGGTACATCTCACTTCTTCCTTTCCTTTCAGCCACACCAAATATCACAACATTGTACTGGTGTCATCCCACGTGGTTCCCTGATGCTTTCAAACTTTGCTTAGTATCATATCAACCAAGTGACGTGGGCCTCTTGGTTTTGGTTTTTTAGCTTTTCTTAAGGTTACACATTGAGCTCTCAGCTGGCTGTCTTCGCAGAGCTTGCCTGAGGCCTCTTGCACTGTGGGTTTTCTTGCCTGCGAGTTCTCTTCCTCCCTGGGTTCCCCAAGGGCCAGCCCTGGAGTTCTATTCATCCTCCGCGCTTTCCCTCTTCCCCCCGCAGCCCTCTACGTCGACACTGCTCTCGCTCTCACTGGTTCCTTAGATCCTCTGCGTTTCATCACTGCGTGGGTCAGTCCCTAAATGACTGAGAGCTGGGCCAGCTTTCCTGTGTGTGGCCGAGTCACTCTCAGCAGGCACCGCGTGTCCCCACTGCGCATCTCTCTGTGCCCGGTGCATTTTTCTCCTCTCAGCGTTCGAGAGTCTCACCTCTCCGTTGTGAAGTCCTTTCGGCTCAGCTGAGCCAGCCCGGACGCACGGCGGCGTGCCGCACTCACCCCTAGTCCAGGGGTACCTCAAACTTTTGTAAACAGGGGGCAGTTCACCGTCCCTCAGAGCCCCTGGACGAGTGCGCACCTGCGGGCCCGACGAGTCCGCTAAGCCAGGACAGGGCAGCGGCGGCAGAAACACCGGCGGTGGCGGCCGGACACCATGTCGCATGGCGGCCGCGTGTGGGGCCTTAGTTTGAGGTGCGCTGGCGCTAGTCCGCGACTTTCACACGGCCTTACCCTTCCTGGTGTGGGCAGCGGGTTTTCCGCATCACACCAGGCTGAGCTTTGAAGCCCGTGTTTGACTCAGCCTCGCGGACTGTACACGTTTGCCAAGTCCTGCCAACTGGCTAACACAGTAGTTTTCGCTGGCCATCCCTGCCTTTCTGCTTCGCGCACAGCGAGGAACCAGGGTCAGCCTCTATCC